CACCTGTAATCCCAGGACTTTGGGAGGCCGAGGCGGGCAGATCACAAGGTCAGGAGATCAAGACCATCCTGGCCAACATGTGAAACCTGATCTCTACTAAAAATGCAAAAATTAGCTGGGCGTGGTGGCACATGACTGTAATCCCAGCTACTCGGGAGGCTGAAGCAGGAGAATCACTTTAACCAGGGAGTCAGAGGTTGCAGTGAGCCAAGATCGTGCCATTGCACTCCAGCCTGGTGACAGAACAAGACTCTTTCTCCAAAAAAAAAAAAAAATTCCACAATGTTAAATCCTCCTTTATAATAAATAATAAATAACATTGTAATAATGTTACAGCCCAGCTTAGTTCAGTTGAAAAGAAATTCATCTTTGAATCTCTAGAAATAACACAGTTCTCTTCCAGGCTGATGTAAATAGCACTTTATTATTCCTTACATCCAACAACACTATGTACTTAATACTGTATCCAGCAAATAGTATATATTTGAACATTTTAATGGAAAGTCTACTTGGTAATGGTAATGTTATTTATATCTTATTGGGAAGAGAGATATGTTTCGTGCTACAGAAACCAAATTTATGAATTTCATGTAGATCTAGTGCCAGCTAGTGGTACCTATTATATATGCATCGAAAAGAAAATTGACTTTTTAAAAATAGCCAAAGACAACATGGCCTTACTGGGATTGAACAAATGCTTAAAAACAATGTTGAAAGAAATATCGTTTGCCATGTTGAGGAGACCCAACAGGCTGTGCGTGAGAATGGATGTCTGCAGTGCTCTGTTGCCGTATAACGCTCTGTGCCAACTTCCACGTAGTCACTGTGCTCCCATATCCCAATTATTCATGTATCTGTCATTCTTATTGTATGAGGAAGTTACTGAGGTATGGCTCAGGCCTTCATTTCTGCATCTCACCACTGGTCACAAGATCCGACAATTAGATGCAGAAAGAAATATTAATTGAAAAAATAAGAGGATTCAAGAAAAATTATTGCCATATTTCACTTACCACAGTGCGTGACTTATGAAAGCAGTTATTCAGGGGTTTTCAGCACTGGGTCATGACCTTAATTATTCAGAAGTATACCAGACAACTTTGGGTCTCTAGACTTTTTTAATCTTCAAAAATTTCCTAGTTGACTTAGATATCACAGACCTGTTGAACCATCGCTGTCGCATGAGTCTCCTTAGAAATTACAGGGTCTTAGACAAGCATCCCCCATCCAGCTTACTAATTTTAGCATTTAGTCATTAGTAACAAATTTTGAACAGGCAGATTTTATTTTGGGGTGATGGGAGCCGGGTTATAAAACATACCTCACAGTTCAGTCTCTAATAACATTTACTTTTAAAATCATTGCTTTCTTATTAATTTGCTGATTAGTGGTGTTAATAATTGGCACAAGTGGGAATTTCAGATGTAGGCTAATGGTTCATTAATCAAATTTAAAAGGCCATCTTCTTTTAAATGTGAGGATGAAACTTTTAATTCCCTTTAGGACTGCCAGTTGGAGATGTTCCTCTGGGGAGGGGATCTTTTCACTTTATGCCTGCAGTGCTTGCCACAATTTCCAGGGCCATTTGTTAATTATCCTGCCTGGCATGAAGTAAAATTGATTTGGAACCCTAGCTCGTTATGAAAGGAGTTTTGCAGTTCAAATGAGCTCAGCCTTCTCAGATGTGTAAAGAAAATACAATTTCTGTATTTTCTATAATCGACATGTTTTTCTCAGAAACCTATTTGAAGGGTAGGTTTCAATGCATGTGCTCTGCATGCTGCCATAATTGAAATAGTTGGTTTAGATGACTCACTCATTTGTGGATAAATGATCACACTTTCAGTTTTCTTGGCCTTTCTCTGCCGCTATCCAAGATTGGTTTGGGATGGGAGTTTGGGGTCTCGAGGTTTTGTTTTTACAATCTTGTGCAGTGGGGCATGAGGGCCAAGCATCCCCAAAACATCTTCCAGATCCTTGTCGATTTCTGCTGTAGACAGCTAGGCATGGGCTGCTCCCAGGACAGCTGCAACAGGTACCATCTCACCACCTGGAACTCACTGCTGAAGTCTGTGTTTCAGACATCTGCTTCCAGCATAAAATCCCTGCACACTTTGGGCTTTGTCCCAACCTCAGGCTCTCATCCACTCACTAGTCTTAGATCTTCTGTGCCTTTTACTACTATGGCATGTAACAAATTCCAGATGCCTTGACGGCCATATAAGAGGATTGGGAAGCATTGTCTTAAGCTCGTCTTTCTTGCTAACACCCATATGATATAAGATTCATCACGTGTAGGGCTTCTTCTAGGGGCATGGGACTAACTACCTCACAGGCTTCCTCATACCTGTCTGGGAATTTTAACCCTCCCTCTTACCTCTCCTTCTTGGAGTTTCTTCCACAGAGGAGAAAAATGAGGCACCTGCTGAGCTCAGTATCTTACCTTTATCTTTCTTTTTCTCCGGGTCATGAGAATCATGCTTTCATTTTCCTGGATATTATATCCTAATTTTTCCCACCCCTTAACATATAAAAGAAAATATCCATGATATATCTTATCATACTTGGCTCTTTAAAAATGAGAGAGAGAGAGAAAAAGAGAGAGAGATTTCACCCTGTCACCCAGGCTGGAGTGCAGTGGCTCAGTCATAGCTCACTGCAGCCTCAAACTCCTCAAAGCAAGTGATCCTTCCACCTCAGCCTCCAAAAAATGCTGTGATTACAGGAATAAGCCACTGCACTTGGATCCTGATATGTTAATAGGAATTTAAAGAATTTTACTGCCTCCCATTCCCTAATGGCTCAGATTTAGGGATGGAAGGCTGCAAAGAAATAGAAATTGAATAGAAAATGATGAAACCCCATCTCTACTAAAAACACAAAAATTAGCTGGGCATGGTAGCACATGCCTATAATCCCAGCTACTCAGGAGGCTGAGGCAGAAGAACCACTTGAACCCGGGAGGCAGAGGTTGCAGGGAGCTGGGATCGTGCCATTGCTTTCAAAAGCAAGACTTAATCTCAAACAAACAAACAAACAAAACAAAGATGCCTAGACCAACCATAAAAAATTAAATCAGAATATCAGATATTCAGCAACCAGATGCTGGGAGAGTTTAAGTGAATTGCTCAGTGTCACTTAGGAAATTAGTTCCACCCAACTGGGTGCCCTTCCTCCCTCCTGTGTTGCCAAGCTGACCACTGTGCTGAACCAGTTATTTCTATTCCTGAATAGATATGCAAACCAAACTCGTAATTTATTTAATATTTGTAGGACAGTGTGTGTGTGTGTATGTGTAGTATATACATATTCTACAAAAGAAAAGGAAAAAATGTTTTCCTCATTTACTTTCTTATCCATTACAATATTCTGGTGGAGTTTTGTCCCAATGGCTATGCTAGCAGGAGACTGCTTTTTAAGGAAAGTGCCGTATGTCCTCATTACACAGTGAGCTGATGCCTGTTACTGCAGTGAACAGCTGGGTCTGCCAGTCACATCAGCTCTGCCTTCTTGCCCTTGCTTCCCAACCCCATCCCAACTCCACAGAAGACTTCTCCACATTCACATTTTCTCTGGAGTCACTTCTAAAAACATCTAATGCTTTAATGTTCTTGCAATCTGTGGGAAGAAATAGAGAAATTGAACAGAGACATGCAACTTGATGTTTTTTACTAATACCAAAAATCCTTAAATCCTGCACCAAAAGTAAAGGAAACAGTTCATGTGGCCTTTAACTTCTAATCACTTCTAAAGGATGTGTGATGTCTAAGCCCTTCCTAGATTTAAGCTGCTATTTTTTAATCTCCTGTCTTCTCTGTTTCTTGATTCATATTCCCTCCCTTCTTCTCTTCTTCCCCCCTCCTTCCCTCTCCTCATCCAAACATACAAGAGGGTGGCAGCTATTTGTTTCTGTACAACAGAACAATAAATCTGACAGGATGAGACTCCTGGGGTGGTCAGGAAGCTGACAGCAGGCTGCCTGTACTTCTCCAGCTCCCTATTCTAAAGGGGTTCACCTGCCCTTAAGGAAAAGGAAGGTCAGGAATTTATCAGAAGCAGCATGGCATCTGATTTACCTTTCTCCATGCTATTTTTCTTTCTCCATCTTCCACTGTAATCCCAACAGTTTGACCGTGAACTCCATTGCATATACTGTCTATGGAAAACAAAGATTCCTAGTCACTGGGTTTCATAATCCCTGTAAGACAGTTCATTCTGGAAGCTGAGCTGGCTCAACTAAATGGCATTTTCGTTTTCCAACTGGAGAAAAGCAAGCCAGTCATCTAAAAGCAGCCTCACTTTTTTGTTTCTTTTGAGATGGAATTTCACTCTTGTTGCCAAGGCTGGAATGCAATGGTACAATCTCGGCTCACTGCAGCCTCCACCTCCCGGGTTCAAGTGATTCTCCTGCCTCAGCCTCTCAAGTAGCTGGGATTACAGGCGCCCACCACCACACCTGGCTAATTTTTTGTATTTTTAGTAGAGATGGGGTTTCACTATGTTGGCCAGACTGGTCTCGAACTCCTGACCTCAGGTGATCCGCCCACCTCAGCCTCCCAAAGTGCTGGGATTACAGACGTGAGCCACCGTGCCTGGCCCAGCTTCACTTTGTATAAAGAGAGCACTCCGTAAGAGGCTGTCTGCAGATACCAGCAGGTGGTATTGGCCCATTTGTCTGGGGACACCCTCGCTCTGTCCGTTGGGTTTGTTGCTATAAGTATTGACGCCACTGTCACATATGCAGCACAAGTATTTCTTTTTCTTGTTTCTCTTGGAGTTATTTGAGGATGGCGTCTGAAGGCTTTTAAGTGTGAAGAGTTAAGGGGTATTATTATGTCTTTTATGACTGGCTACTGGCTGTGGCCATCTAGAAAACACTGCCTTTGATTCGTATCATTGTAGCATTTGCTTGGGCTCTGGAGAGCAAGTCATTAATGCTTGTCCTGGCCAGAAATTTCACACCCAAAGATTCATTTGTCTCTCTGTTTTTCCATTTCCAGCCTGGATGTGTAAATACTACTGAAGTGGACATTAAGAAGTCATCCAGAATGAGAAACCCCCACAAAACACGGAAGGTAAGACAGACATTTGTTGTGCTGATCTTGGTGATGAATTGCCTTGTTTACAGGACGTCAGCCATAAAAAAACTTTCTTCCCATGTTATGGAGTATATTCCCCACTCTTCCCGGCCTTCCACAGCCCTCCCCTCCTCAGGATAGCCCCATCCCGATTCTCAAGCACACCGGGGTCTGACCAAGCACAGGAGAGGGACAGGACGCGAAGGAGCCCTCTCCTCTCCCAGAGAAGGGTGTGTCCTTCAGAGCCCAGGAGAGGAGGAAAAGAAAATGGGATTTCCTTAGAAACTCCGACACTGATGTGAGAAGGGCATTTTAAAACCCGAGGAAAGCGGGGACATCTAAAAGATAATTACAGAAGGAGTGCGGGGCCCCCTCTTAACATGGGGATTTTGTGACACAGCCGTAAGACGGTGTTTGTTATCTGAGAGAGTATCTGTTGGTCGTGTGGGGGAAGCTGTCCCAAATTCAGTGACATTTTACATAACCCTTTAAAAATGCATGGCAGTAGTTTCTAAATATTTTTTAAAGTAATGCAGATAACTAGAAGGCATTGTCCTCCATTCCATAAAGCACACTTGATGTACACAAGAATTTCTGGCCTGTAGCAGTCTGAGGACACAGCTCATAGATTGGCGCTGCTGGATTAATGCATTCCACAGACTTCAAGGTCTTCTTTTCTCTGGCTATTTCCTTAGTATTTCCTTACCATAATGTTTTCCAGAGTCTGTGTCCGTGCGGTAAGCACCCAACTTTTTTTTTTTTTCTAGTCTTATTTTGTGTGGCCTTTTTCTTCCATCCCTAGAAACCCAGCATCATGTTCAAAGGCCCCCAACTGGTCCGGGTACCTTTTCTTTCTTTTAAGGCAGTTTGCCTTGATGTTAGGATAAAGAAGCCACAGCAAAGCACCACAAAACCAATTCAGATGCGGTGCGCAAATGCTTCTGCTCCTCGGAGCTCTCTGAGCGAGGCAGAGCCGGACCGAAGCAAGCCTGCCTGGTCTGTCTCTCTTGCGGCTGGCCTCACTCAGTTGCTTTCATCCTTGATGACAGCACATCCTGAGGGCACCAAGAACTATTTTGCAGAACAAGATTCAAAAATGCTATCAGCTCTCCAAAAGGTGCATTAAGCCACCTCTGTCTGCTTTCTGATTAGTGAAGTTACTCTTCAAAATACTGAATTGGATGTACTCTTCAAAATACTGAATTTCCCCCAACAGACACTAACTCAGACATGCTGTGATTCAGAAGAGAAAGCATATGGATTAACAAGATAGCACTTAGACACAATAAGGGCATCGTTTATACTCTCTTTTCAGCACCATATTCAGCATTGATCATCTTTCTCATGTTTCACCTGGCACCCTCCTTTTGAACATTTGAGAACGATTAGTTTACAATGCTGTTCTTCACATACCATCACCCCTCACTTAATGATGAAAAGCTTACGAGCCACTGCAAGGTGAAATATTGTAAAGAAACAGGATCGTTGAGATCTAGCTCTCTTCATGTCGATAACGTCTCATTTCTTGTGAATCAACAACGATAGAACGACAGGGCCTCACCACAGAGTCTAGCACTAACATTTGCCAGAAGAAAACAAAAGTCTTGAAAAATCCGACAGCAGGTAGCAGGTATACCCTTACTTTCCACAGATGAAGAACACTGGTTTTCTCACCTTTCGATAAATATAACTTCTCACAGTCAGAAGTGTTCAATTTGCTAGCATCTTCGCAGACGATAATGTTATTTTACACGGAATGTTATAAGACTCCAAGCCACATACTGATGTGTTTTCTTCGAATTAGCACCACTGATGCTTTAGCTCATAGTCGTTTAGGAACTGTAATGATCCATTCAATCAGCAAAATTAATTTTGCTACCCTATGCCAGATATGTCCTGGGCTTCGGGCGCTCCACAGTAAAAGGGACAGTCAGGGCCCTGCCCCCCAATCCATGGTCTCATGAGGGTGCCGATACAGAGCAAGGGGACAAATGTCTGAACATGTTCATAGGTAGATGATTTTGTTAAGCTTTATGTGGTCTGCTGAGGCTGCCTTAACAAAATATCACAAACTAGATGGCTTAAGCAGTAGGAATGTATTATCTCATAGTAATGGAAACTACAAGTCCAATGTCAGGGTGGTGGCAAGTTCAGCTCCTGTGGAGTGTCTCTTCCTGGCTGGGGGTTGGCCGTCGCCTTCTTGCATCCTCAATGGCTCTTCCTGCGTGTGCATAGAGACAGACAGAAAAACAAACAGAACTTCCACCCTGGTGTCTCCTCCTTTTCTTAAAAGGACACCAGTTTCATTGTATTAGGCCCCACCCTGTAAACCCACTTAAACTTCCCTTCCTCTTTACAGGCCCCATCTGCAAATATAGCTACACTGGGGAATAGGGCTGCAACCTAAGAATTTGCGGGAGGAGACACAACTCAGCCCATGACATATCACAGAGAATTTCAGTGATTTGTGCTTGTAATTGCCAAGCGAATAACTTGACAACAATCCGCAAGCTGTTCCACCCCACCTCTGAAGGGTCCACAGCTCTGTGTCTGCAGAGCGGGCCACACGGTGGGATGACAAACCATAGACAGAAATGGCAGAGACCAGCCGGTGGCCTCTGGAAGCCGCCCTTCCCTCCGCCATAACTGGGCTGTCTCTGCAGCGCCTCTTTGCAGCTGTGTGGTCAGCCTCAGTCTTTGTACTGTGGCTGCTCAGGAAGTGGAACCCATGGACCATGCTTAATCTTTGAAAACAGATACTTCTGTTAGCCAGGAGAGCTGCTGTTCATTTCTTTGGGAGTGAGCTATAATAATATTTCCTGTGATTACACGTCATAGCAAGAGTAAAGGACCCAGTAAATCCCTAATGTAATAACCTAGCATAGGTGCCTAAAGACTATAAGAGTCATTTCACATTTCATTTGGGCATGTTGTATTTAATTGTTGAATTTTAGACATGTTTATCAAACATAGGAAGCAAAGGCTTGGCTGTATGGATGATACGAGATATTTTAAGAATCCAAAATTAGTCAGTCTTCAAGTCTTTATTTTTAACTTGAATATAGTTTACCACAATACAGGGAAATAGGTAAATACCTCCAGAATCTATGAAAGAATGATAGTGTAACATAGCCAGAAAGAAATCAGCCTCATCTAGATAAGTTTGCCTGATGTTATTCAATCTGATACTAAAATTTTTACTGGAACAGATTCTGTATTAGCCAGAGTTCTCCAGAGAAACCAAACCACAGACAGAGCATGGGGGGCGGGTAAGAGAGAGAGACAGAGACAGAGACTTATAGTAAGGCATTGGCTCACAGGATTCTTGAGGCTTGGTGAGTTCAAAGCCTGATGGCGGAGGCCAACAGGCTGGAGACCTAGGGAAGAGTTGCAGTTCAAATCCAAAGGCAGTCTGGGGAGACACAGCTCTTGAGTCGCCGGAAGCTTTTATTGGGTTGATGGCATCAGGGACCCACAGCAGCGTGTCATCTTGTCGCCTAGCCCCTAGTGCACCCCCGCTCACTGCCGTGACCCTGCACCCCCTCGCTGGTCTGGGAGTCCTGGCACCATGTGGATGGCGTCTCCGCAGAACGTGCAGGCCTGGCCGCAGCCCATGCCCCCAGAGGGCTGGACTTAGGAGGCATCTCCCTGCTCCTGCCAGGCCCAAGTGGTGCGAGGCTTCGGCCGTGGCTCCAGGCAGCTGGGCATCCCCGCAGCTAATTTTCCTGAATGAGTAGTAGGTAATCTTCCAGCTGATGTCTCCACTGGCATTTGTTATGGTTGGGCCAGTGCTGGAAGTGATGTCCATCAGATGGTGGTGAGCATCGGATGGAACCCATACCACAAGAATAGGAAGTCCATGGAAACACTTGTCCTGCATACCTTCAGGAAGACTTCTGTGGGGAAGTCTCAATGTGGCCCTTGTTGGCTACCTCAGACCAGAAAAGAACTTTGATTCTTCAGAGTCACTGATTTCAGCAAACTCAAGGCGACATTGAGGAAGCCAGGAAACTACTAGATTTACCAGAACATTTGAAACTCAAGACAAATTCTTCCAGGTTTCCAAAAGCAAAATAATGAATAGCCCCTGATGAAAAATCCTGTCATTTATGTATTCACTGTTTTCTACCATTTCATTGTTTATTACTGTCCAGCCTCATCCTGGTTATATTTTAAAACTCAAACATTTTCCTGCAGCTGTGAATTAAATAGTACAATGTAGTTCACATATCATGCTTCAGCAAGGCACAGTGGCTCATACCTGTAATCCCAGCACTTGGGGAGGCTGGGGCGGGCAGATCACCTGAGGTTGGGAGTTTGAGACCAGCCTGACCAACATGGAGAAACCCCATCTCTACTAAAAATATAAAAATATCTGGGTGTGGTGGTGAATGCCTGTAATCCCAGCTACTTGGGAAGCTGAGGCAAGAGAATCGCTTGAACCTGGAAGGCAGAGGTTGTGGTGAATGGAGATTGTGCCATCGCACTCCAGCCTGGGCAAAAAGAGTGAAACTCTGTCTCAAAAAAAGTACATATCACGCTTCAACTGGTAAATTAAGGCCATTGTATCATAGCTCTAAAAAGATTCATTTAAAAATCAGTATTTTAAATATATATATTGATTAAAATGTACCACTGGAAAGGTACTACATGTCTTATAATGGAAGTGCAATGTATATAAGCATGGATAAAAAGACAAATCACTAGTTTGAGATGAAAACTAAAATGTTCGTGGTAAAATACCAGCACGTATGTACTTGTATAGTTTGGCCTTCTAAACAGAGAAGGCTTATAAAAGTAAATGCATTCAATAGAAGTTTAGTAGCTTATCATAAACCTCAGGGAAGAAACCTAGACTTTGTATTTTTGATACTTTGTGCTTTAATATGTTATTAGAAACATGAAGATATTTGTGCAACTTTGTTTTAGTCATTTTCTTTGAAGTCACATCATTGTACCATCTTCATTTTTGTATGGCTCTGCTTCAATTCTAAGTC